GCAGTTAAGGCTGCCTGTGCTGGAGGCAGTTAAGGCTGCCTGTGCTGGAGGCAGTTAAGGCTGCCTGTGCTGGAGGCAGTTAAGGCTGCCTGTGCTGGAGGCAGTTAAGGCTGCCTGTGCTGGAGGCAGTTAAGGCTGCCTGTGCTGGAGGCAGTTAAGGCTGCCTGTGCTGGAGGCAGTTAAGGCTGCCTGTGCTGGAGGCAGTTAAGGCTGCCTGTGCTGGAGGCAGTTAAGGCTGCCTGTGCTGGAGGCAGTTAAGGCTGCCTGTGCTGGAGGCAGTTAAGGCTGCCTGTGCTGGAGGCAGTTAAGGCTGCCTGTGCTGGAGGCAGTTAGAGCTGCCTGTGCTGGAGGCAGTTAAGGCTGCCTGTGCTGGAGGCATTTACGGCTGCCTGTGCTGGAGGCAGTTAGAGCTGCCTGTGCTGGAGCAGTTAGGGCTGCCTGTACTGGAGGCAGTTAAGGCTGCCTGTGCTGGAGGCAGTTAAGGCTGCCTGTGCTGGAGGCAGTTAGAGCTGCCTGTGCTGGAGGCAGTTAGAGCTGCCTGTACTGGAGGCAGTTAGGGCTGCCTGTACTGGAGGCAGTTAAGGCTGCCTGTGCTGGAGGCAGTTAAGGCTGCCTGTGCTGGAGGCAGTTAGGGCTGCCTGTACTGGAGGCAGTTAGAGCTGCCTGTACTGGAGGCAGTTAGGGCTGCCTGTGCTGGAGGCAGTTATAGCTGCCTGTACTGGAGGCAGTTAGAGCTGCCTGTACTGGAGGCAGTTAGAGCTGCCTGTGCTGAAGGCAGTTAAGGCTGCCTGTGCTGGAGGCAGTTAGAGCTGCCTGTGCTGGAGGCAGTTATAGCTGCCTGTGCTGGAGGCAGTTAGAGCTGCCTGTGCTGGAGGCAGTTATAGCTGCCTGTGCTGGAGGCAGTTAAGGCTGCCTGTGCTGGAGGCAGTTAAGGCTGCCTGTGCTGGAGGCAGTTAGAGCTGCCTGTGCTGGAGGCAGTTAAGGCTGCCTGTACTGGAGGCAGTTAAGGCTGCCTGTGCTGGAGGCAGTTAGAGCTGCCTGTGCTGGAGGCAGTTAGAGCTGCCTGTACTGGAGGCAGTTAAGGCTGCCTGTGCTGGAGGAAGTTAAGGCTGCCTGTGCTGGAGGCAGTTAGAGCTGCCTGTGCTGGAGGCAGTTAGAGCTGCCTGTGCTGGAGGCAGTTAAGGCTGCCTGTGCTGGAGGCAGTTAAGGCTGCCTGTGCTGAGGCAGTTAGAGCTGCCTGTACTGGAGGCAGTTAGAGCTGCCTGTGCTGGAGGCAGTTAGAGCTGCCTGTCTGGAGGCAGTTAGAGCTGCCTGTGCTGGAGGCAGTTAGAGCTACCTGTGCTGGAGGCAGTTAAGGCTGCCTGTGCTGGAGGCAGTTAGAGCTGCCTGTGCTGGAGGAAGTTAAGGCTGCCTGTGCTGGAGGCAGTTAAGGCTGCCTGTGCTGGAGGCAGTTAAGGCTGCCTGTGCTGGAGGCAGTTAGAGCTACCTGTGCTGGAGGCAGTTAAGGCTGCCTGTGCTGGAGGCAGTTAGAGCTACCTGTGCTGGAGGCAGTTAAGGCTGCCTGTGCTGGAGGCAGTTAAGGCTGCCTGTGCTGGAGGCAGTTAGAGCTACCTGTGCTGGAGGCAGTTAAGGCTGCCTGTGCTGGAGGCAGTTAAGGCTGCCTGTGCTGGAGGCAGTTAGAGCTACCTGTGCTGGAGGCAGTTAAGGCTGCCTGTGCTGGAGGCAGTTAGAGCTGCCTGTGCTGGAGGAAGTTAAGGCTGCCTGTGCTGGAGGCAGTTAAGGCTGCCTGTGCTGGAGGCAGTTAAGGCTGCCTGTGCTGGAGGCAGTTAGAGCTACCTGTGCTGGAGGCAGTTAAGGCTGCCTGTACTGGAGGCAGTTAAGGCTGCCTGTGCTGGAGGCAGTTAAGGCTGCCTGTGCTGGAGGCAGTTAGAGCTACCTGTGCTGGAGGCAGTTAAGGCTGCCTGTGCTGGAGGCAGTTAAGGCTGCCTGTGCTGGAGGTAGTTAGAGCTACCTGTGCTGGAGGAAGTTAAGGCTGCCTGTGCTGGAGGCAGTTAAGGCTGCCTGTGCTGGAGGCAGTTAGAGCTACCTGTGCTGGAGGCAGTTAAGGCTGCCTGTGCTGGAGGCAGTTAGAGCTGCCTGTGCTGGAGGCAGTTAAGGCTGCCTGTGCTGGAGGCAGTTAGAGCTGCCTGTACTGGAGGCAGTTAGAGCTGCCTGTGCTGGAGGCAGTTAAGGCTGCCTGTGCTGGAGGCAGTTAGAGCTACCTGTGCTGGAGGCAGTTAGGGCTGCCTGTGCTGGAGGCAGTTAAGGCTGCCTGTGCTGGAGGCAGTTAAGGTTGCCTGTGTTGGAGGCAGTTAAGGCTGCCTGTGCTGGAGGCAGTTAAGGCTGCCTGTGCTGCAGGCAGTTAAGGCTGCCTGTGTTGGAGGCAGTTAAGGTTGCCTGTGTTGGAGGCAGTTAAGGCTGCCTGTGCTGGAGGCAGTTAAGGCTGCCTGTGCTGGAGGCAGTTAAGGCTGCCTGTGTTGGAGGCAGTTAAGGCTGCCTGTGCTGGAGGCAGTTAAGGCTGCCTGTGCTGCAGGCAGTTAAGGCTGCCTGTGTTGGAGGCAGTTAAGGCTGCCTGTGCTGGAGGCAGTTAAGGCTGCCTGTGCTGGAGGCAGTTAAGGTTGCCTGTGTTGGAGGCAGTTAAGGCTGCCTGTGCTGGAGGCAGTTAGAGCTGCCTGTACTGGAGGCAGTTAGAGCTGCCTGTACTGGAGGCAGTTAGGGCTGCCTGTGCTGGAGGCAGTTAAGGCTGCCTGTGCTGGAGGCAGTTAGGGCTGCCTGTGCTGGAGGCAGTTAAGGCTGCCTGTGCTGGAGGCAGTTAAGGCTGCCTGTACTGGAGGCAGTTAGGGCTGCATGTGCTGGAGGCAGTTAAGGCTGCCTGTACTGGAGGCAGTTAGGGCTGCCTGTGCTGGAGGCAGTTAAGGCTGCCTGTGCTGGAGGCAGTTAAGGCTGCCTGTGCTGGAGGCAGTTAAGGCTGCCTGTGCTGCAGGCAGTTAAGGCTGCCTGTGCTGGAGGCAGTTAGAGCTGCCTGTGCTGGAGGCAGTTAAGGCTGCCTGTACTGGAGGCAGTTAAGGCTGCCTGTGCTGGAGGCAGTTAAGGCTGCCTGTGCTGGAGGCAGTTAAGGCTGCCTGTGCTGGAGGCAGTTAGAGCTGCCTGTGTTGGATGCAGTTAAGGCTGCCTGTGCTGGAGGCAGTTAAGGCTGCCTGTGCTGGAGGCAGTTAGAGCTGCCTGTGCTGAAGGCAGTTAGAGCTGCCTGTGCTGGAGGCAGTTAAGGCTGCCTGTGCTGGAGGCAGTTAGAGCTGCCTGTGCTGAAGGCAGTTAGAGCTGCCTGTGTTGGATGCAGTTAAGGCTGCCTGTGCTGGAGGCAGTTAGAGCTGCCTGTGCTGGAGGCAGTTAAGGCTGCCTGTGCTGGAGGCAGTTAGAGCTGCCTGTGCTGAAGGCAGTTAGAGCTGCCTGTGTTGGATGCAGTTAAGGCTGCCTGTGCTGGAGGCAGTTAAGGCTGCCTGTGCTGGAGGCAGTTAGAGCTGCCTGTACTGGAGGCAGTTAGGGCTGCCTGTGCTGGAGGCAGTTACGGCTGCCTGTACTGGAGGCAGTTAGAGCTGCCTGTACTGGAGGCAGTTAAGGCTGCCTGTGCTGGAGGCAGTTAAGGCTGCCTGTGCTGGAGGCAGTTAAGGCTGCCTGTGCTGGAGGCAGTTAAGGCTGCCTGTGCTGGAGGCAGTTAAGGCTGCCTGTGCTGGAGGCAGTTAAGGCTGCCTGTGCTGGAGGCAGTTAAGGCTGCCTGTGCTGCAGGCAGTTAGAGCTGCCTGTACTGAAGGCAGTTAGAGCTGCCTGTGCTGGAGGCAGTTAACGCTGCCTGTACTGGAGGCAGTTAAGGCTGCCTGTGCTGGAGGCAGTTAAGGCTGCCTGTGCTGGAGGCAGTTAAGGCTGCCTGTGCTGGAGGCAGTTAAGGCTGCCTGTGCTGGAGGCAGTTAAGGCTGCCTGTACTGGAGGCAGTTAAGGCTGCCTGTGCTGGAGGCAGTTAAGGCTGCCTGTGCTGAAGGCAGTTAGAGCTGCCTGTGCTGGAGGCAGTTAAGGCTGCCTGTGCTGGAGGCAGTTAAGGCTGCCTGTGCTGGAGGCAGTTAAGGCTGCCTGTGCTGGAGGCAGTTAAGGCTGCCTGTACTGGAGGCAGTTAGAGCTGCCTGTGCTGGAGGCAGTTAAGGCTGCCTGTACTGGAGGCAGTTAGAGCTGCCTGTGCTGGAGGCAGTTAAGGCTGCCTGTGCTGGAGGCAGTTAAGGCTGCCTGTGCTGGAGGCAGTTAAGGCTGCCTGTACTGGAGGCAGTTAGAGCTGCCTGTACTGGAGGCAGTTAGAGCTGCCTGTACTGGAGGCAGTTAGAGCTGCCTGTACTGGAGGCAGTTAGAGCTGCCTGTACTGGAGGCAGTTAGAGCTTCCTGTACTGGAGGCAGTTAGAGCTGCCTGTACTGGAGGCAGTTAAGGCTGCCTGTGCTGAAGGCAGTTAGAGCTGCCTGTGCTGGAGGCAGTTAAGGCTGCCTGTGCTGGAGGCAGTTAAGGCTGCCTGTGCTGGAGGCAGTTAAGGCTGCCTGTGCTGGAGGCAGTTAAGGCTGCCTGTACTGGAGGCAGTTAGAGCTGCCTGTGCTGGAGGCAGTTAAGGCTGCCTGTACTGGAGGCAGTTAGAGCTGCCTGTGCTGGAGGCAGTTAAGGCTGCCTGTGCTGGAGGCAGTTAAGGCTGCCTGTACTGGAGGCAGTTATAGCTGCCTGTACTGGAGGCAGTTAGAGCTGCCTGTACTGGAGGCAGTTAGAGCTGCCTGTGCTGGAGGCAGTTAAAGCTGCCTGTGCTGGAGGCAGTTAACGCTGCCTGTGCTGGAGGCAGTTAACGCTGCCTGTGCTGGAGGCAGTTAACGCTGCCTGTGCTGGAGGCAGCAGTCTGGCTGTCTGGGAGGCCGGGACAGTGCCGGTGACAGGAGGAGACATGGGCCGTGCAGAGACATACCACAAGTCTGCTCGCGACACCAAATTATTTGCCTGTGTTGTTGTAATGGAAGCTGGAACCCTGGAAATAGAAGGAGAGAACGGTGTGCCAAGCCAATGTTACTGGAACCAGCATCTGGATGTTGGTAAGTGGAGCAGCTTGGGTTAGGACACTGGACGAAGGAAGTCGATTCCGGAAGAATGTGTGGAGGTGGAGATAAGTGTGGTGATGCTCCTTGGGCTGATCTTCTACGATAAGGGTTGGAGGGAAGGGAACTATCAGGGGGAAAGCGCCAAGATTATCCACTGTTCATTTTTTATACAAATTATCAGCTGATTTAATGGACAAGGAAATGTTTCAACCAGAAGATCTCGGGTTCGATTCCCGCGGCAGTATAAAGGCGTTTGGGCACGTATAACCCCACCTGATGCCTATTTTCACCTAGCGGTAAATAAGTACTCGGGAGAGAGAGAGAGAGAGAGAGAGAGAGAGAGAGAGAGAGAGAGAGAGAGAGAGAGAGAGAGAGAGAGAGAGAGAGAGAGAAAGAAAGAGAGAGAGAGAGAGAGAGAGAGAGAGAGAGAGAGAGAGAGAGAGAGAGAGAGAGAGAGAGAGAGAGAGAGAGAGAGAGAGAGAGAAAGAGAGAAAGAAAGAGAGAGAGAGAGAGAGAGAGAGAGAGAGAGAGAGAGAGAGAGAGAGAGAGAGAGAGAGAGAGAGAGAGAGAGAGAGAGAGAGAGAGAGGGAGTACATATTTCTCGCTAGGTAAATAAATACTCATTTAGTAAATGAGAGAATATTGGTGTACGGCCTATTCCTCATGGAACAGAGATATACGCTGTTTTCGAAGTAGATTTTGAGATGATTACCAGGAACTGGAATATCCTTCGCTAAGGTTTGCCAAACATTTATTTCTGGAAATCATTTTTCTTGGCTGTCTCTCTAAGGTCATATTTATCAGTAGCTTTACCAATGTCTTTAGTGGCAGACAAAAACAAATTCTGCTTGTTGACCTTGGAAATATAGTTGTCTTCTTGAGCAAAACCGTAACTTCTTCACTCATTGCTCTGGCACCTCCCTTGTGCTGTGGGGCTGTATGGAAGTACCTCTGCCACCTCCCTTGTGCTGTGGGGCTGTATGGAAGTACCTCTGCCACCTCCCTTGTGCTGTGGAGCTGTATGGAAGTACCTCTGGCACCTCCCTTGTGTTGTGGGGCTGTATGGAAGTACCTCTGGCACCTCCCTTGTGTTGTAGGCTGTATGGAAGTACCTCTGCCACCTCCCTTGTGCTGTGGGGCTGTATGGAAGTACCTCTGGCACCTCCCTTGTGTTGTGGGGCTGTATGGAAGTACCTCTGGCACCTCCCTTGTGTTGTGGAGCTGTATGGAAGTACCTCTGGCACCTCCCTTGTGTTGTGGAGCTGTATGGAAGTACCTCTGGCACCTCCCTTGTGTTGTGGGGCTGTATGGAAGTACCTCTGGCACCTCCCTTGTGTTGTGGGGCTGTATGGAAGTACCTCTGGCACCTCCCTTGTGTTGTGGGGCTGTATGGAAGTACCTCTGCCACCTCCCTTGTGCTGTGGGGCTGTATGGAAGTACCTCTGCCACCTCCCTTGTGCTGTGGGGCTGTATGGAAGTACCTGCCACCTCCCTTGTGCTGTGGAGCTGTACCTCCCTTTGTGCTGTGGAGCTGTATGGAAGTACCTCTGCCACCTCCCTTGTGCTGTGGAGCTGTATGGAAGTACCTCTGGCACCTCCCTTGTGTTGTGGAGCTGTATGGAAGTACCTCTGGCACCTCCCTTGTGTTGTGGGGCTGTATGGAAGTACCTCTGGCACCTCCCTTGTGTTGTGGGGCTGTATGGAAGTACCTCTGCCACCTCCCTTGTGCTGTGGGGCTGTATGGAAGTACCTCTGCCACCTCCCTTGTGCTGTGGAGCTGTATGGAAGTACCTCTGCCACCTCCCTTGTGCTGTGGAGCTGTATGGAAGTACCTCTGCCACCTCCCTTGTGCTGTGGAGCTGTATGGAAGTACCTCTGGCACCTCCCTTGTGTTGTGGAGCTGTATGGAAGTACCTCTGGCACCTCCCTTGTGTTGTGGGGCTGTATGGAAGTACCTCTGGCACCTCCCTTGTGTTGTGGGGCTGTATGGAAGTACCTCTGGCACCTCCCTTGTGTTGTGGGGCTGTATGGAAGTACCTCTGCCACCTCCCTTGTGCTGTGGAGCTGTATGGAAGTACCTCTGGCACCTCCCTTGTGTTGTGGGGCTGTATGGAAGTACCTCTGGCACCTCCCTTGTGTTGTGGGGCTGTATGGAAGTACCTCTGGCACCTCCCTTGTGTTGTGGGGCTGTATGGAAGTACCTCTGGCACCTCCCTTGTGCTGTGGGGCTGTATGGAAGTACCTCTGGCACCTCCCTTGTGTTGTGGGGCTGTATGGAAGTACCTCTGGCACCTCCCTTGTGTTGTGGGGCTGTATGGAAGTACCTCTGGCACCTCCCTTGTGTTGTGGGGCTGTATGGAAGTACCTCTGGCACCTCCCTTGTGTTGTGGGGCTGTATGGACGTACCTCTGGCACCTCCCTTGTGCTGTGGAGCTGTATGGAAGTACCTCTGGCACCTCCCTTGTGTTGTGGGGCTGTATGGAAGTACCTCTGGCACCTCCCTTGTGTTGTGGGGCTGTATGGAAGTACCTCTGGCACCTCCCTTGTGTTGTGGGGCTGTATGGAAGTACCTCTGGCACCTCCCTTGTGTTGTGGGGCTGTATGGAAGTACCTCTGGCACCTCCCTTGTGCTGTGGGGCTGTATGGAAGTACCTCTGGCACCTCCCTTGTGCTGTGGGGCTGTATGGAAGTACCTCTGGCACCTCGCTACTAAATGTGTTTCCATATTACATTAGGGAGCCGGTCGGCCGAGCGGACAGCACTCTGGACTTGTGATCCTGTGGTCCAGGGTTCGATCCCAGGCGTCGGCGAGAAACAATGGGCAGAGTTTCTTTCACCCTATGCCCCTGTTACCTAGCAGTAAAATAGGTACCTGGGTGTTAGTCAGCTGTCACGGGCTGCTTCCTGGGGGTGGAGGCCTGGTCGAGGACCGGGCCGCGGGGACACTAAAAAAAAAAAAAAAAAGGCCTCAATCATCACAAGATAACGAGTGATTGGGCTATGTACTCATACTCACACGAATACACACACACCACTCACACACACACACACACACACACACACACACACACACACACACACACACACACACACACACACACACACACACACACACACACACACACATGATCACAACCTACAAAATCCTCAGGGAAATCGACCGGGTCGACAAGGATAACCTATTCAACACGGGTGGGACGCGAACAAGGAGATACAGGTGGAAACTGAGTACTCACATGAGCCACAGAGACGTTAGAAAGAACTTTTTCAGTGTCAGAGTAGTTAACGGATGGAATGCATTAGGCAGTGATGTGGTGGAGGCTGACTCCATACACAGTTTTAAATGTAGATATGATAGAGCCCAATAGGCTCAGGAATCTGTACACCAGTTGATTGACAGTTGAGAGGCGGGACCAAAGAGCCAAAGCTCAACCCTCGCAAGCACAAATAAGTGAGAACAAATAGGTGAGTACACACACACACACACACACACACACACACACACACACACACACACACACACACACACACACACACACACACACACACACACACACACACACACACACACACACACACATAGGGGCCTCGTAGCCTGGTGGATAGCGCGCAGGACTCGTAATTCTGTGGCGCGGGTTCGATTCCCGCACGAGGAAGAAACAAATGGGCAAAGTTTCTTTCACCCTGAATGCCCCTGTTACCTAGCAGTAAATAGGTACCTGGGTGTTAGTCAGCTGTCACGGGCTGCTTCCTGGGGTGTGTGTGTGTGGTGTGGGAAAAAAAAAGTAGTTAGTAAACAGTTGATTGACAGTTGAGAGGCGGGCCGAAAGAGCAAAGCTCAACCCCCGCAAAAACACAACTAGTAAACACAACTAGTAAACACACACACACACACACACACACACACACATTAGCTGGTAAGGTGCTCCAGTGGATAAGGGAGTATCTAAGCAATAGGAAGCAGAGAGTTACAGTGAGGGGTGAGACCTCCGATTGGCGTGAAGTCACCAGTGGAGTCCCACAGGGCTCTGTACTCGGTCCTATCCTGTTTCTGATATATGTAAATGATCTCCCGAAGGGTATCGATTCATTTCTCTCAATGTTTGCGGACGATGCCAAAATTATGAGAAGGATTAAAACAGAAGAGGACTGTTTGAGGCTTCAAGAAGACCTAGACAAGCTGAAGGAATGGTCGAACAAATGGTTGTTAGAGTTTAACCCAACCAAATGTAATGAAGATAGGTGTAGGGAGAAGGAGGCCAGATACAAGGTATCATCTGGGAGAGGAAATTCTTCAGGAGTCAGAGAAAGAAAAAGACTTGGGGGTTGATATCACGCCAGACCTGTCTCCTGCAGCACATATCAAGCGGATAACATCAGCGGCATATGCCAGGCTGGCCAACATACGAACTGCATTCAGAAACTTGTGTAAAGAATCATTCAGAACTTTGTATACCACATGTCAGGCCAATCCTGGAGTATGCAGCCCCAGCATGGAGTCCATATCTAGTCAAGGATAAGACTAAACTGGAAAAGGTTCAAAGGTTTGCCACCAGACTAGTACCCGAACTGAGAGGTATGAGCTACGAGGAGAGACTACAGGAATTAAACCTCACTTCGCTGGAAGACTGAAGAGTTAGGGGGGGGGGGCATGATCACCACATTCAAGATTCTGAAGGAAAATGATAGGGTAGATAAAGACAGGCTATTTAACACAAGGGGCACACGCACAAAGGGACACAGGTGGAAACTGAGTGCCCAAATGAGCCACAAAGATATTAGAAAGAACTTTTTTAGTGTCAGAGTGGTTGACAAATGGAATGCATTTGAAAGTGATGTGGTGGAGGCTGACTCCATACACAGTTTCAAGTGTAGATATGATAGAGCCCAATAGGCTCAGGAATCTGTACACCTGTTGATTGACGGTTGAAAGGCGGGACCAAAAAGCCAGAGCTCAACCCCCGCAAACACAACTAGGTGAGTACTAGGTGAGT